TTAAAATAAATAAAACATATTTCTCGCACATAAATCTATCTTTGACTTTGTATCTCAAATTTTAATAAAATGTGATAATCTTTTGCACAAAGCATGTTTTTTTTTATGAATTTTCAGCTGCAGTCACGATGTGGGCTTTTTGTTTTTATATTTTTTTTTTTGCTTAAAATTATATTTATATATATCTTTGATTATATAGGTTTACCAGATTATTTACTTCAATATAAACAGTTTTATGTTTTTCTTTTTTTTTCATATTGTTGTTTATTTTAACATAGAAAGAAAGTAGCAAACTATAAACTATTTAGAAAAAAAAGCAGATTAAGCCCCAACGGGCGTTATTGGCTTGCAGTATTATTATTTTCAATTTGATTCACATTGAAATAAACATTTAAGCATCATTTAATATTCCTTTCATGCCATTTATTTAGTCAACATGCTCACACTGCCAATTAGTCAGCAGCTAAAAGTGAGTGGGAAACAATCAAGACTTATTGCCAAGCTGAAGTTAGCCAATTTGGGCATTAATAATTTATTCCTGGATTATATACGTCTCATTGTCTTCATTTGCATGCAATGCGCAAAACAATTGAGACTAAAAATAACAGTAAAGTCTCATCGATATTTTGGTTTATTTAACACCTGGAAACTCCCTTCGATACACTTCCAAAAATAAGTTTATTCGCTGATTTACCTGGCGACCCAAATCACGCCTCCCGCTTTGCCCTTTTTGCCGGAGGCTGCGCCCATCAACTTGTAATTTGTAAATTAAATTGCTTTGTGCAGGCTTTCCCTCTTTTGCGGTTGGCCCAGCCCCCTTCTGTGCTTTGCCTTGTTTGCCTTTTCCCGTTTTCTTTTATTTTTTACTTTTATTTGTATTTTTTTTCTTTTTTGTGCAAAAATGCAAATTTATCAAATTGGCTGAAGGTCTGGATTTTGATGGCGGCCAATTGAAATGCCAAAAATTAATTACACATGCCTGCCACACATACGCACACTCACGTTCTTTTTTTTTTTTTTTTTTTTTTTTTTGCTGCTGCTGCTCGTGTTACTTTGTTTGTTGTTGTTGCAGTTTACACCTTTTAATTGATTACGGCGACATACACAGACACACGCTGACTCGCACGCTCACACGCACAGACACACACACACCTCTGTGTTATTTGATTTTGATATATAATCGGAATTTGGCCGCACACACGATTCGAGACGAGCACGAAACACAAACTTTGTTGGCAATTGGCGCTTGTCATTTGGCTGTGTCTACTGCCAATTGTTGGTGGCCAGGCTAAAAGAGCCGCAACATGAACGCCGTTAAACGAACGTGGCCACGTTTCCGAGTTGACTGATTTGAGCCACCGCCGCTGCTGCTGCTGGCCAAGGCACGAGCCGTGGCCAACACCGAGGCGAGCCTCTTATCACAAACGAAGCCTGCACGACGCGACGTGCATCTGTGTTGAGTTTCTGCTTCGGCTCGGCTCCAGAGCGCAACGCAGACGCCCCAAGCAGACGTGCACGTAGATAAAGAGAGGGAGAGAGAGAGAGCGCGAGCGAGCGAGCGAGAGAGCACCACTGCCGGCTTTCGTTGGTGTATGGTGAATTTGGAGCGTAGTACGCATTGGTGTAAGCTTGTTGAATGCTGTTGCACGCGGTCTTGCGGCACGTTGAATGGGCCAAAAATACGAGGCCGCACGCTGTTATCAGTTGTGCGTAGCACTTATCATTGCTGAGGACTCTGTCAAGCTGCGATGTGCGAAAAATTAGC